CAGAACGCATAAATCTCATCTGCTGCCACATGTTAACCCAGCTGCCGAGCGTTCCAGCACGTGTGGCCTCCAGCAGCAGCTGGAAATGCCTCTGAGCACAGCAGGGCACCCCACCACCCATGGCACTCCTCGCCCTGCGTCCCAGAGCAGCAGAACAGCACAGGAGCAGCTGCTGCCCCAGCACAGTGTCCAAGCCCAGCTCCTGCCCCGCTTTGCCCCGCAAAGCCCCAGCCCAGGACTAAACCAAGCTGCGTGTGCGTGACTGTGTTTGTTTAGCAGGCTGTGACGAAACGCCGCCTGTGCCTCTGCTCCGGCCTGCTGTGCTGGGAATGTGTTTTTCCAGCTGTGTCACAACACCAGATTTCACAGGGCTTTAGCAGGAAGTTTTGCAGCCCTCTGCTGCAACCTGCTCTCTGATCTCTTCACCGCCCCACCAAGCCGTTCTTTTTTTGGCATTTCACGTGATTTCCCCGGTCTTGACTCAGCAGTTTCCTGCAGCAGCATTTATTGGTTTGGTTTCCTACCACCACCTCCTCCAGAAACCCGGCGGCTCAGAAACCCTGCCATCTGCTCAGAGCTTTCTCACAGCTTAGGTAATGAGTGTTTTTTCAGAGCAAGCAGCACAGAGCTCTCGGAGCCCTCCCTGTCCTCCCCCTGGGCAGGCTCACACATGTAGCCAAAGCACTGCAGATGTCACACTGGCCTGGACAGAGGTATGGTCTTCATTATGGTGTCCAGATCCCAAATCCGTAGTCCCCAGGCTACAAACTGGGGCTGCATGAGAAGGAAAAAACAGCTGTAACTCTCAGCTGCTGGCACAGTCCCAAGAAGGCCCCTGCGGTTCATCCCCCTCTGCCAAGTGAATATGTGACCTCTCTGGCCGGTATTAATATATTCCTCTTTCCATCCCTTCCACATGAAATGGTACCAAATCCTTCCCCTGCCTCCTGAAAAGGAATAATTGGTTCTGACACAATCATGTCCCTGGAAAAAATATAGGGATTGCCCTTCTGTTAAGAGATATCTAAAAGAATAAATAAAAATACATTAAAGTCATGATTACTGCATGTCCTAGGCATTATCTCTTCCTTCTTTTTTCACAATCTCTTCTGCACCAGGAATCAGAAACATTAAGTTACTCAGTGATTCATTAAACAGTGGACACTTCACCTCTGGCCACACACACTCCTCAATTTTTGCAAGTCCCTGGGTTAAGAAAAGTTTGATTACAGATAAAGTATCTAACCAGCTGAAACTGATAAAGGATTCACAGAGGATTAAGCATACGATGTGAATGAAAGTCACAGAACAGCCTGCACATTTGAAATTAGGCATAAATTCACATTCCTTGATGAACCAAAGCTTTAAAAAGAAATCATAAGGTTTTGCATATTTGTTCTCAGTACATGCCAATACCTTCTTAAAATGACTGACATCAGACTTGGTGTAACGTGGTAAAACTGTAATGCCCTAGAGAAACATCACAGTCCTTATTCTCACATCCAGCAATAAACATAAGGAATGTCTTGGAAAACCAGGATCAGCTTGCCATCCATCCCAAAACCATGCCAAGTGCAAAATCATTTCTCTCTAGGAAGCAAAAGGGGAAGGCATTTTCTCTGCATTCTGGTAACAATCATTCAATCTTCTATCATTAAAGGAAAGCAGCTGAGTTTGCACATGAGTTTGAGCTTATGTTACTGAAGTCCAGCTATCACATGCATTTTACTGTTCTTTAAGACTGTCACGATCAATAAAGAAATTACTCTTGGTTAATAAGATGAGGTTGAATCCTACAAGTACTGAATATAATAGCTTATGGAATTTAAGAGGAATCAGAATTTTTTTCTAAGGAAAGCTGAAGGATTTGTTAAATGAGAGGAACAGAGTTTCGTTTTGCTCCTTTCAGAGCTTCAAAGAGATAGGCTTTGGGAACTGCCCAAAAATTCTCTGTTTAGGGAGAACAGTGCCAAAATCAAGCTTCTGTCAGTTGGCTGGGCAAGAGGAGAATATCACTGTGCAAATGGAAGAGTACCTTGCTTTTAACAACCTTTTAACACATTCAGATGGCTGGAGCTTGTGGGCTTTGTTAGACAAACCTCCTCCTATACATGAACAGGAGGTGCTTGTACTGACTCCCTGCAGGTGGAATTCGATTTATTTGCTTCCCCAAGGATTCCACTCAAGGGCAGAGGCCCTTTGGGCAGCTTTTGTGGTTGCCTCATCCCTTGCTGTGCCGTCACTGGGGTCAGCCTTGATGCACATGCCCTGCATCAGTGCCCCTTGTGACAGTCTGTGACAAGGACAATAAACCACCAGCTCAGCACCAGCCTGCTGAGATCATGGTAGAATGGTGTCACATCACCACCTGTGGAAGGCAGGGATGGAGGCACAGGGAGAGCAAAGTAACTACGTGCAAAGAAAGAAAGAATAATAAGTGTTCTCGCATTAATGATGATATTTCTGGTGCAAAGCAATGTATTTTTCATTATGCTAAATTGTATAAATTATACTGTTCCTTTAATCCCACACCAGTTGCTATTTTTCTTGTGTTATTAACAGAAAGGGATTTGTTATGATAGCTACCATTAGATTTCATTTCAAGCTTCACTAAATTTGCATATAGGAAACAAGTTAATCAGTCTTCCTGTTATGTCTGGAGAACATTTAGCTGTTTTACAGTCCATTTCCTATGTGCAAGGAAGAGATCAAAATATTCAGGGTTTTTCACTCAGAACAAGGGGGGGGGTTTGAACAGATCAATGTTTATATATATAAAGCTACATGTCCTGAAGTAAATATTCCAGCAGATACAAAAGGTGACATGAACTGCATGGATCAGACCAATAATTTTCTCCTCTTCCAATTAATTAAAGCCTAATTCAACGTCTGTCTGCTAACAGTCAAATCTCCCTAATGTAATTGCTCCTAACTCCCTGAGAGATCACTTTTTAAAAACAGGACTTTGCACTAAACTAGTGAAGCCTGAGGAAATATAAAATCCCCCAGACCGGGACTCTCCATAGCCTCTGAAATGACCCATTCTTTGTGGTGAAGCTGAGAAAGAGGAAAGACTTGCTGCTTTCAGAACTTGTGGTTTCATCTGTGCTGCTGCTACTGGACATCCCCCCACAGCCTACAGCAAGTGCTGGGTCAGTTATTAAATATAAAGTTTATTTCTTCAAATAAATTTTCAGTAATTAAGCCCAACGGCTAAAAGTAAATTTACTCCCAGTGTTTTGAAATTGCATGAATTTTGATATTCACATGCAACCTTGCTTAGACAAATGCATGTGCAGGTATGTAATGCTCATGGGAAGTTGGTTCTAGGTGCAGTTATTAAGCCCACAGAGAAAAGCAAAGAAGCAGTGAACGTGTCTGACCACACAAGCACTTGTGTGTGGGACCCTCATTTGTTCAATGCCCTTGGTTTTGTGGTGCTCCATGGAAAAGTTTGGTACTGCAGGTACAAAACTGAGAGAAATTAACTGCCATTTGATAACAAATCCATTATTTCCGCTTCCTCAAGAGTTCGTAACTGCTTTCTCGTCAACACCATCCACACTCCAGATGTCTCAGGATATCAGGTCAATGTTTTATTGTTTTCTTCAGCCTTCTTTTCTTCTCCCATAGCTGCGGATGCCTCTTAGAGCCTGATTATTCAAAATCCCCAGTTCTACCACAGCATCAGAAACACGAGTATGTCATTCCAGGAGGCCTTTCCTGGCTGAGCCCAGAGCTCCTCAGGCACATGCTTGCCCTTTTCCTTGCCATCTTCCAGCCTCAATCTCTTCTTCCCCATCTCCCCTTTCTTTGCCAAGCCACCCTTTGTGTTTGGGTTAGTTGGGGTTTTTTTCCCCCCCTAATCAATACTCTCCAGGCTGCAATCCAACACCCACACCAACATTTTATACCTCCTTGCAGACCCAAGTCCACCACGTTTCTTGCCCATCCCTGTCTTCTCCAGTCCTCCACTCCAGTGGCTCTTTTCTCCCTCAGGGACACCACAAACCCACCCCAAGGGCACCGCCAGCCTCAGGACACGTGCAGTGAGAGCAGCGTAGCTCACTTCTCCCCCTCTGTGCTTATTGCAAACACGGACAAGATCTTTATACTGTATTTTTATTAGTGCAAGTTAAACTTCTCTGCATGCGCACGTCCTCTCACAGCGCACGGCGGCCTCAGAGCGAACCGCAAACGCTGCCGAGGCCCAGGGCAAGGGCCGGGACGAGCCCAGGGGGGGCGGCACAGCCCCGGTCCAGCCCCTCGGTGCCGCCGGTGCACGGCGACGGGATTTCCCCGGACCCGCCCGCCCGCGGCGCTTCGCGGCGAGCTCCGCGCCCGCGACCCACGGAATCGAGCGGCGGCGCCGCGCGGCGATTGGCGGCGCGCGGGCGGCCCCGCCCCGCCCCTCACATGACCGCTGGCGAGGGTTTTGTCGCGCCCGCTCGCCCCGGCCCCTCGCCGCCCCCCGGAGCCCCCGCCGGCAGCGCCCCCGCCATGGAGCCGGTCCGCCCCGCCGCCCCCCGCCGCCTCCTGCCGCCACTGCTGTTGCTGCTGCTCGGCGTGTCCGGTGAGCGGGGCAGCGCCGGGGCCCGTGGGAGGGAGGGAGGGGGGGGCGGGCGTGGGGTGTCCCCGCGGGCGCGTGCCCATGCCCATGCCCGTGCCCGTCCCGCTCCCCCCGCTCCGCGACGCGGCGCCGCGGGGGGCCCCGGGGCAGCCTCGGCCCCGCGGCGGCTTCGCGGGGCGGCCCCGGGAGGGGAAGGGAAAGGGAAAGGAAGGGAGGGCGGCGGGGGCCGAGGCCCCGCGGCCCTGCCGGGCACACCCGCCCCGCGCCGCCGGTGCCGCCCCCGGGGGGCCAGAACCGCGGGGGCAGCCCCGGGGCTGTGTCCCGGCAGCCGCGGGCCCGCCCGGGCCGGTCCTGCCCTGTCAGCGTCGCTCGGCGTGAGGGCAGCGGGCACGGCCGCGGCTCTGCCGGCGTTCACCCCATAAACATCCCCGGGCTGGGAAGAGTTCCCTAAAAACGCAGCGATCCATGTGCTCTGAGCCAGGAATTGTGGGGGCACAAGGCACGGCGGTCCCATCTGTTAGGGTTCAGCCGGAGTTGTAACAGCTGGCACATCATATGAAATAATGGGGGGACGCCGGTCTGCGAGCGGGATGCTGTTTAAGTACTGTGCTCATCAGGCACTTGGTTCGCTCGGTGTGTCACCAGAAAGCCAGGGCTTATTTCATAGAGTCATAGAATCCCAGGTTGGAAGAGACCTCAAGGATCAGCTGGTCCAGCCTTTCTTGGCAAAAACACAGTCTAGACAAGATGGCCCAGCACCCTGTCCAACCTGATCTTACAAGTGCCCAATATTGGGGAATCCAACACTTCCAGATTATTAATCCATTGCAGGTAAACAGAGTATAAAGTTTTCTTGCAATTTTTACCTAGTTTTGATAGCTTCACAATATGCCTCCTATTTTTAATACTTTTTAGAAATCTAGCTTTTCTTATAGTCCTGACATAATTTACTGCTTTGTGATGAGCTGCCCTCTTAAGTGGTTCTAGGAAATGAAGTAAAAGCCATGTCTTAGTAGCTAATAATCATATCTTACAGGTTTTTTCCAGTCCCATGCAGTGGAAGTAGATATAAAGGATGCCTCTAATGCTACATGCCTGTATGCAAATTGGATGATGAGGTTCTTGATAACGTATGAATCAAACACTAGTGATTATGTAAGTATCTGGAGGTAACTCTTGCTGAGAACTGTATTTTGGCCTGGGTAGAAGTTTAATTATACTATTTTACCTAGAGTTTTTTGTTTCTTACTTATTTCTTTTTAACTAAGTCAGATGTTCATAGTATTCCTACATATTCCTTTTAAAATGAAGCATAAGTTCTCAGTCATACAAATGACTGAAAGTCCCCTGTTGCTCTCACTTAAATGACATACCCAGAACTCCCCAAGTTTAATCAGTATCAGCATAGTTATGTTTTTAGCCCAAACAGTAAATTTGAACTGCAGCTCAGCACAGTCAAGATTTACAGCCAGGTTAGATTTGTCCTTCTGTACTTGAATCTGATATGGCTCCTCTCTCATACAGATGTCAGGGAGCCTTTTTCATGATTTTATAGAATAATCTCACTTATCTTGTGCAAAGTTCCATCTGACTCCAGCAGGTTTATGATGTTGTCCTGAGGAAGAACTGCTATCTTTTTCTTCTAGAAAACCACAGCCTTGAATTTGTCATCCAGTGTGACACACAATGGAAGCGTCTGTGGCAATGACACACAACCTGCACTTGTGGCAGTGCAGTTTGGGGAAGGTCATTCTTGGAGCATTAACTTTACAAAAAACAACGAAACTTTCCAGGGGGACTTGATCACATTTACCTACAACACCAATGACACAGCTGTGTTTCCTGATGCCAAGAGAAAAGGTAACGTTCGGTGCAGAATCTGACTTGCAGAGCGATCTCAGCCACACATGTCAGACCTCGGCACCTGATTTGGGTTGGTGTTTTCAAAGTTAGAAGAGCTAGTAATGTGTGTGGAGAGCTCTGTGGCAACTCCATATGCTGCCAGCTATTGCTCATCCTACCTGCCTGCTGGATAGCAATGCTGACTAGTTGTCTGGCTGAATGTGGAATTCCTTTAAGTGGAACAGAATGGGAGGGATAACTGAGCAGCTTTGATGAGTGAGGTGCTGGTAGACAGCAGGCACATGGAAAATTCATTTTAGTGTGCACTACTTGACCTTCCACCTTTCCAAGCAATGCAGTGTTAGGCTTTCTGTATACTAATGCCTGCTAATAATAGGATTTTTTTCTCTTTAGTAACTAAAGTAAAGGGGTTTACCTTTCTAATGGCTTGTCTAGTTTGGAAGCTTTGTTACTTCTCTGCATTACTCAGCACTTCAGGTCAGGATGCATAGGGAAAACAAGAAAGAGAGCTTAGGATTGTTAAACTTAATTACCTCCTTGTCTTAAGGAATTATATAAAACATAAGGCTACCTCCAAGTTCTTGTAGTTCACAAGGCATTAAAATATTTGTGCTTATTTGTAGGACCGGTTTCTGTTGTTGTGAAGGACCCTACGCGTCCAGTGCAACTGAATAATGTCTACGTGTGTCATAACACTGACTTGGTTGAAGCAGAAAATGTAACTCAGATTTTCTGGAATGTTACTTTGCAGCCTTTTGTTCAGAATGGCACAGTCAGTAAAAAAGGTGAGCATTTCAATTTGTGAATAAACTTTTTTGTATTGCACCTTAGTACAGAGAGGAAAGTCCCATAATAAAAAGTCCACCAGTTCTCAAATGTGCTGTGTTCAATAATACTCATGTAAATATCCTTTAGTACTTCTTTCCTTGTTCCTGCAATAATAGATTAGGAGAACAGATTTAGCAGTGTGTCGAAATGTCGATTGTGTCCATGCCAAGGGGGTAGGCTCCTAAAGTGTGTGTTCCAGTAACTGGGGTTTTAAGAATAAGCACTTCAGAACTACTGTTGCTGACTAGTTCATTTGAGCTTCAAGGTTTTTAGCTGACTGCCTTCCAGTGGGGCCTCTGCTTACAGCATTTGAACAGCCCGGAGCCTGTTGTCTCATCTCCCAGCCCAGCTGCTGAAAGAGATGAGCTGCCTACAGCTTAACAGGGTCACTCACTTTGTGACAGGAAGTACATATCACACTTTTATAACCACTGGGCTGGCTTTGTGTGTTTTGCTTCCCTGTTTCGGAGGTAAGTTGTGCTGCATGGATTTGAAACTGTGACCTTTACAGAATTGCTGAGAATAGAGGGTAGCTGTACATTGTTTGGAATACTCTGCCACAGTCTGGGACTTCTGACTTGGTGATGAGCAGACTCCCAGTGAGCCTAGATTTCAACAAGAAATTCAGAACTGTATTGAACTGACCACTGAGTCATAAGATTTTCATACAATTCAGCACTGAAATGGTGGTTAAAATGTCTTTTCAGAGTCTAGATGTCCTGCTGATACACCTACTTCTGCTCCTACGATTCTGCCTACCACTGCCAATGTGACTACCGCATCCACCACCACTTTGTCGCCTGCTCCAACCACTCCTCCCAAACCTGTGGAGAATCCAGACACAGGAAACTATTCTCTTAAAAGTGGAAATAAAACCTGTCTGCTGGCTAGTGTGGGGCTTCAGCTGAATGTTTCCCAAGACAAGGTGCTTTTCTTTCATTTTGAGGAGGGAAAGGTTGCTGCAGTTACTGGGTGTGAAATCTGAATGCCGGGTGTTTGCTTTGTAACTGCTGGCTGTCCAGAACTGCTTCTAAGCGTTGTATGTAGCACCTCTCTGACATCAGAATAGTGTTGTAACATAATGCCTGGCTTCAAAACCTTATGTGGAATCAACATAATGTATTATGGGAGTACTTCTAACATGATTAAAAGTCTGGAACTTTCTTAGCTGTTAAGGCTGTTAACTCAAATGGCCTTGGTTTGATAGTAGCCAGGCTCAATCTTCCTGCTGTCATGTTTGTGACAGGCTCTTCTAGCCCAAGACAGAACAATGTACTCCAAGCGACAGCTGAATGTCTTTGTGGTGTGTCTGTATTTCAGCCTCTCCTGATCAACATCAATCCAAAGACAACCACCGCAGATGGTGCCTGTGGAAACACAACAGCAACTCTGAGGCTGAATGATGGAAATAGCACACTGATTAGTTTCACATTTGTTGTTGTAAGTAACTTCTTTTATTTTAAACTAAGCTTTCATTTAACAGCACGGCATGGTGATCACTCCTGGTAAAATCCTTCTGTCACTTACTGTGGTGGGCTGTTCCCATATGGGAAGTGCAACTTGACTGCCTCAAGACAAACAGGGAATTGGGTTAAAGTAGAAAATGTAAGACTTGTAGTATGTGTTAGCCTTTGTAAACCATTTGTTCTTACAGTTACGAGTGCAGAATTGCACACTGACACTTGGTTCTTGCTTCTTAAACAGAAAAATACAACTGCAAGTGCACAGAAGTTTTATCTGAAAGAGGTGAATGTTACGCTGCTCAACCGGCTGAATGGTTCTGGTAAGAAACAGTATCTGCCTTAAAGCAAGTGTAATATTTTACTCAAGGTCTGCATCAAGTACTTCTGACTTTTTTTCAGTGTTGTTCATGCTTACTGTCAGCTCCTACTTTATAAGTTGGTGTGAACAAAAATAGTAAGCAGAAATGGCTGTAACAGTTACTTTAAACAGCAGTGTGGGATCATTCTGTGATTCCTGAGACTTCTGCTAGTGGGGTCTCTATATAAATTAATTCAGCTTCTTTGCAACTATTGTCAGTTATGTAGTTTTCTGAGGTGTGAAATACAGTTATACCAACTTAGTAGCTTTTTTTCCTAAACCAGCTGTTGTTTTCTTTTATTGAAGATGCTGCTGTATCTTCCAACCACTTGTACTTAACTCTCACTGGCAAAACTAAAAAAACTAAGGCATGCTTTCTTCCAAAACAATAATACGCTGGGTTTTTTTAAGTTGTTTGTCACGGCTTCAGCAGTTGAAAGAGCACTAAAGCTGAAACACTTGCAACTCTGCAGTGTTGGGATGAGTGGAGGTACGAGGAAGGCCTGATGTCATGTATATGTATTGAGGAGAGGTCACTGCTAAGTACTGTAATACCTTCAGTGCCTGACTTCTGTTTGAGCAGATCAGTCCCACTTTGCACTACTTTGCTTTTCAAAGTAGTCAGTGTTGAAACGTTGGCCCCTTTGGATTCAGCTCCTCGGTTTTATGATTGCTTTAGCAACTGTCTTGAATTTCGAGTGGGCATGCAAATTTCCTTTCTTTTTTTCCCCTCTTTGTTTAGTCATTTCAAGTGCAGATAACCACAATTTCAGCAAGTGGGATGCTTTCCTTGGGAGCTCTTACATGTGCCGGAAAGAGCAAACTCTCGAGATTAGCGAAGATATTCAAGTACATACTTTTAATCTAAGGATTCAGCCATTCCTTGTGGAGGCAAATCAGTTTGCTACAGGTAAGAGTTCATGTTTTTGTTAACTTTATCAATGCTTGCAAGATTCTTACTTGCTGAAAAGCACCAGCATTGGGTACAAACATTCATCTTGGAAGTTCTTTTTCCAATTTTTTTAATCTGTTTTTATATACATGGAGTGAAGAGAAGTTCTGAGACTGACATCCAAGTCCAAGCAAAGCTTTGCTCTCACTTAAAAAATGTCTGCTAGATATGTTTCTCCTGCACAAAACTCAAATGAGCTAGAGACACTGAAGAGGGACTTAAGCTTTGCCTTGCAGGAAGGTTAGAAGTTACCTGACATCATCTGACATACAGCTTTTTGTAGCTCAAATACATAAGAAAATAGGACAGAACTTAAGCATAAGTGGACTTTTACCTGTCAGTCCAAGGAGTACTCGGGGGGGACTTCCTTCAGAAGTTCAGAGCTTCCTTTGGAAACAGTCTTGGATATCCAGAAATAAAGAAAGGTTTTTAAAATGTTTTTTTGGTGCATTATCTGGGTCTTGTCTGGAGATAACTGGAATGTCTTAAATGACCTCATTCTTCATATTTAGTGTAACCTGGTCGTAGTTCTCAAAAATAATACTGACAGCACAGACTTTTTGGAATAGACTGATGTGTAGGCATATAGATTGAGTGCAGATTTTTTAAGTTCTCTTTTTAGACAGAAGTAAGTAACTCTCCAGATGTGTGCAGGGTAAACAGTATTTTTAAAGAGTTAGGGTCCCATTTCACTTTGTAGTTCAAGTTGCAGCTAGCTTTCTTCTTCTCCTAATTAGTTATTTTGTCTGTGTAACATGTCTCTGTTCTGGATAGATTCTTGATACCAAATCTAGGTCACTCTTTATCCTTAGTGATTAAAAGCACAAACCAGACTTGCCTTAAATGTGTGAAATAGATAAGACTGGTTCTTAAATTTAGAAGAATGGCTACTCCCTTGTCTAGTGCAGATCTTGTGCACATGAAAACTCACACATCTTTAGTTTGCTATAGGGGGGTGTGTGTGTGTATATATATTGCTATATGTATGTTATCAAACATTCCACGTGATTAACACTTCATATGTGCTAGATGTAGCCCTGAGACCTCTGCAGTTCTTTCTCTTAGTTTAAAGATGCAAAAATAAGTGATTTTTGAACATGTTCATATTAAGGAAAACAGGTTTTTCTACCACACTTAGCAAGTGTTCTGTCTTTATTTATTCTTTGTTGCAACCTTTCTCTCACCTACAGCCCAGGAGTGTTCGCTGGATGATGACAGCATTCTAATCCCAATTGTAGTTGGTGCTGCACTTGCTGTCTTGATTGCCATTATAGTGGTTGCTTACATAATTGGCAGAAGAAAAAGCTATGCTGGATATCAAACTCTGTGAATCTAAATGCGATTCCTGTTCTGATTTCACTCTAAACAAAGCAAGTGCAAGTTCTGAAGTCCAAAAAAAGACCCAAACTTAGGAGTAATTACTAGCCACAGCTAATTGGAGTTGAGAAACAAAGAGAGAATGTTTATCTCAGATGAAGCAGAACTACGGTTTCAGTTTCCCTGCTCTAAGAAGACGCCGTGGGTTTCATAGCTGTTTTGAAGATGTCAAATACTGGATCTAGGCTAAGGATCTTATCTTGTGAAAAATCCTAAAGCGTTCAGGATTTATTTCTGCTTTTTACAAATAGTAGCCTGAAACGAGAACACATTCTGAACTGATGTGCATTGGGCAACTCCCAGAATAGCATAGAATTTGTACTTGCTTCTCTCCTTTGCATTCCTTAGTTGTTGTCGTAATTGTGGGTTAAGCTGGCAGCATTAGTCACTATGTTGACTTGTGTAGTATTTAACAAGGATTGTATGATGCCCAATAACAGCTTCGTTTTCTGTAGGATTGAACTTCAGGCTGGTTATTAAGTGATCTCTTGAAGTGGCAGCAGTAACTTACTTACCTTTGTCAGAATTTGAGTAATTTACTCCTGCCTTGCTGTAATTTCAGGAGTCATTCCTATACCCTGGCTGTAAAAACAAAATGGGTAACCTGTATTTGCCAAATGGTGGATATGTAGGAAGACTTCAGTGCCACTTCCAAATGTTTCAAAAAAAAAATAACAACTGTTAGGCACTGAATTCTTCATTCCTTATTATACCTTGGCAATCATCTGAAATGCTCAACTAAGGCAGACTTCTGCTAAATTAATGCAAGCTTTTTTGCTGGCATCAGTTTAAAGGGAATAACCTTTCTAAATATTCCAGAACTTTAAAGTGCACTTAACTTCATACCATACTCTGCACAGAACTGGTCTGTCTTGTTGCTTTGAATGACCATTGTTTGAAGATGCTTTCATTTAATGAGCCAGTATCTGTTGTTGCAGCTTGAGCTGTTTTTAAATCTTCATCTTGAATGGTTTTCTGCCAAAAAAATCCCCATTCTGTCTGCCCGCCATTGGCATTCTGAATGTTCAGCGTGTTTGTGTTTGACTGTTTGCGGTGTAGCATTTGTTAATGTTAAGAATGCAAAAGCCAAAACTAGTCTGAGATGGACCCACAACACCTGTTTTTCCTTGCTGTATGGAAAGAATAACTAGGCTAAAAAACGCAGTGCAACTGGACTGTTCTTCAGCTGCAGCTCTGTAGGGACAAACCCCTGATGCACAACTTTTCTCTGGCCTCCTTGTGCTGTAACGCATATTCTTACTGCATGGAAAAAAAAAGAAGTCTTCTAGACTTTTAGATAAGTGTGGCTTTTTTGCATATGTCATAACATGAGCTGCCTAAACTATTTAATGAACATAACATTGTCTCCCCCTTTAGGATGAGTTTAGCCTGCATCAAAGCTGCTCTAGTGTTTTATTAGTGTTCTCTAGGGTTGTAGAGATGTCTGTGGCATGTTTGTATGCAAATCATAAAATACACTTCTTTCAGTAATGGTTTGGGTTGGTTTGGGTTTTTTTCTGTAAAAACAGTTTACTCTTGACACTATCTAAGGAAGCAGGTATGGGTGGATAATACTATAGCTTGTAGTCTACAGCTTGAATTTTGCATCAGTTACTGAAATTCATTTTAATGAAAGTGGGGAACTTCTATAAATTTAATCATGAAACAGGCTTCAAGACTTACCATTTTAATTTTAAAAAATGGATCTAATGACTTTCATATTAATATATCCTCAAATGCAGAAGTTCATATAGATTTTTTAGCTTTTTTTTTTTTTGTGAGTGATGTTCAGTAGCACCAGTTAAACGTGCATTTCTGTTAAGGAGTAATCATCACACTGTATTCTTCTGGCCATGCAAATTTTTGAACTGTACACGGTTTCCAAGTGATAATATAGAAGATTTGTGCAAACTGCTCCCAAAAATCAACACTAATACCTTTGCAAAAGCCTGCAAGGACATTGGCTCAGAGTTTTAAGTACTCCTAGACTGATGTGCAGACAGCTGGTTCAAAAAACATCAAAGTTTCACCTGACTTCCTGTTGTTATAAAACCACTAGTTTTCCTGTATGTATTGCTCCATAGGGAACTGTCAATCTGTTTAACTTGTGCTCTAAAAAAAAATAAAGATTGTTCTATTTCTTAAGGAAACTTGTTCACATTTTTTAACTGATTTGAAAACAGACGTCTTGTATTGTCTTTTTTTAAAGAAAATAAACTAAATGAGTAAGGTCAACTCCAGTCAGTCTATACCTGAAATTCTGTTGCCTAGCTGGCTTTGTTCTGGTCTGTGGAAACAGCACTTAAATAGGATGTGCTTGTGGATGTTGAATATTAATATGTATCATCTATCACACTATAGTGTGGTTGGGTTTGTGCCTTATACACAGTTTACTAAATAGACTGTACTCTAAAATGCCAAGATTTCTGATCTTTTAGGTTAAAGATGTCATACTAATAGGTCTCAAAAGAAGCAGTTCTGGCTAATGAATGATGGTCTCGGGGTTTTTTTGGGGGGTTATTTTTTAATTTGTTTTTTGTTTGGCTGGTTTTTAATTTTTAAATCTACCACAGTGTTCTCTATTGCGTAGCATATACCAATAAAACACAGAATGGGGGGCTATTGGTTCAATCTCATGGTTGGAATTAAAAGGGAAGGTAGCTTCTATACTGGGGCTAAGAAAGTTTTGGGCCAAAATTTCTGGATTACTTTGAATGGAGGCACATTCAACCACGTCAGCTGAAAGAGCTGTTCCTGCTGGCCCCAGTGCAGGGCCTGTGGGCCAGGCAGTTCTGCATGTGCAGACACCTCTGGAGCTTCTAACCAGTACAGTGACCACCCCTGGTCTGAAACCATAAACCCTCTCTGGGAATTCTTTGTAGTTGTGATAGTGTGATGTGTCCTGCAGTGATCCCCTTCCTCTAAAGAACACAGGGAATTGTCTGTCTCTGCCTGCTGGGCACTCTTAACAAATCCATTTGTGTTTAGTGTTAATGACCCATCTTCAATGAACAAAGATGTCTAGACATCGAATGGGAGTTTCTCTTTAAGATGCTTAAATACTCCCCCAGTAGTTCCTTTCCACCTTTTTTTTTCTTTCTTTCTTTCCAAGTTTTGCTCTGCTTGGCAGTAGGTGCAGTCAGATATTCTGGGTGTAGGATTTTCAGGTGTTGAGCCTCCAGGTGTTCTCCTTCCTCTGAGCCAAAGGCTCTGTACAGGGTTTCACAGGAGTGCTGCTTTATGAGAATCATGTAAGTCAGGCACCCTTCCAGGCATGATCTCAGTATGTCACCAAACCTTTCCTGGCACCAGGCAGGTGGAGCTCTGCTCTTGTTACCAACAGCAGAGAACGCCAAGCCCTGTCCCGGGGTCTGAGGTGTATCCCTGAGTTTGAAACCAGTTCCCAGCCTTGTTTGCTAATCCTTGATGAGTGTTTATATCAGCAAGGCACTCCTCACATGTTTTATAACCTGTATATTAAAAACCAGTGTAGCATTACAGCTGCCTCTCCTGGTTTTTGCCTCCTCTATGGATTTCAGTAAGGTCTGTGTACTTGTCATCTGAAACTGGTAACCCTTTTGTGCTGAAAATAAAGGTACCCACCCCAAGAGAGTCTGTCAGCGTTTTCTATTCAGTGCTTTTCAGTAAGTTTCCGCTTTGTTACTTGGATTGTCCCTTATTCCTCATGTCTAGAACCCAGAGAGGTGCTGGTGACTTGAGGGTTGGAGTAGCCTTGGGTGAGGTGATAATGCACCAGAATGGGGGTTTTGTTGCTTTAGTGCTGCTAACTCTGAGGTGTGATCAGCTAATGCATGCTCAGACTGCTGGTTTGTCCTCTCATTTCTGATTTATCCTCACTAGAGGAAGCTGAAATTAAATGTAGAAATTGGAAGACGTACAGTACCAATATAAATTATGTGTGTAGAATATATGTTTAAAGAAACCACTCTTCATCAATTCTTTACTCACTACTGATTTCACTTTAGATGTATTACTGTGTCTAGTACACCGTAATTTCTCAAAAATGCCTCTTTGCTCCTTGCTCTCTTTGGTTTCTAATGCCTGATTTCCCTTACTAACTTATTCTCCCTTGCTTCTTTTTTGTTTTTCTCCTTTCTGCAGCCCAAGAATGCTCTGCTGATTCTGACCTGAACTTTCTTATTCCCATCGCAGTGGGCATGGCACTTGGATTCCTTATCATTCTTGTCTTTATATCTTACCTCATTGGAAGAAGGAAAAGTCGTACTGGCTATCAGTCTGTGTAATCTCTTCGTTCCATCTCTGTTGCCACCTTCCCTGCTCTTCTCCCTTTCCCAGACTCCCTGATCTGCCCCTTTAAAAAGAAGAAAAACAAATTAATTTATGGTTTCTTTCTTTAAAAAAGATTTAAATCACTTCATGGTAGGGTGACGTGCCCCGAGTATGAAGATGAGTTACGATTACTTGAAGCTACTGTATGATTTTGGAAAAAGTAAGTGTTGTGAGGACCATAGAATTGAGCAGAGGTGAAGTGTGTCCTTGTGAGAAATTGTTTTGAGGAAAGAAGACATCTACCAAGCTTTATGTTGTTTAATCTTTTTATACAAGAAAATTTCTAGCTGCCTACAGCTTGTCTTGGATAATGCTAAAGCTGAAACTATAATTAAAAGTGTGAATGCTGTGTCGAAAGGGACTGTACGTGCAGTGGGAAAAAATACCACGCTCTTAACAGACTTCCATGGGGAACTTGGCATATGGCTGTTCTTGGGAACCAATCTGAATTTCCTGTTCCTTCTGAATGTAAAGGTAGTACCTGATCTCACTAATAATATGAGAAGAGCATCTGAATCTTCTAGTAAATTAATTTGTTTAGCATCAGTATGGAGAAGTTGACTGCTAGCATATGTTGAATAGCTCTGCACTTGGCATGATGGCTAATTTGCTAAGATCAGGCTCAGTTCTGGAGAACTTTGGCTGCTCAGAAAAGCCAACAGTCTGCTAAAGGAAATGTCTCCTGTGCTATTTGGTTGGACTGCATTTTTCCTTTTGTTCTGAGCTCAATTGTGAAATGAGGGTGGGAGGCTGGAATTTCACTGGCTGCAATTTCTCTCAGCTTTGATTCTGAACATAAAAGAAACTACACAGCACTGCGCCATGTGAGGCTCAAGAGTATTTTGAGAGCACTCAAAGACTGACTAAACACAGATTGCTCAGAGATTCCTGCAGGTTGTTTGGACAGCTTTCATAGGTTAACAAGGGATCACTGAAAAGCTGTGATTTAGAATGCAAGTGAAGATATAAAACCAGTCGGTTTTGATAGAATTAATCTGCTTTTAACCTCCTCATTATTACTGTCTCAGTGTCAGAGCACAAAATTTCTAGCATGAGGAATGCTGATCGTAAAGCAGAATATATATATATAGTGAAGAAAGTGACTTCCAAAGGAATAAGAGCATCTGACCTGTTTGAAGATGCTTTCTTTGTTATTAATGCCATACCTTTTGCAATTCTATGTTCCATATATAAACTGTACCAAAACATAAGTTAGTCGTTAGTGGTTGTGTTCTGCTTCATTCCCATCAGGCCCATGTTGGTGGGATGGAAGGATGAAAGAAGCCTCTTGCTCTTTCAGCCTTTTTGGTCCACATTGGCCAAAGCCTCGTGCAGCAAACGAGCCCTGATCTCCAGCTGTGGGACAGCTCAAGAGCTGCCAGGCCTGCAGAGAGCTGCTGAGGTCACACAGAGTTCTGTCCTCTGCAGCAAATGTTTGCTAAAGCTGCTTTAGTATTTAATCTCTTTGTGCACTGAGCCCACATCCGTGTGGTAGGGAAAGCACCTTCTGTAATTCACGTGCTCAGAGGGGACAGCCAGCACTGCTGTTTAAGTAACTCCCAACAGCTCTATATTCAGGGAAGGGAGATTTTTGAAGAGTTAGTTTTGATGTCCGAGAAATACCCGTACATTCAATTATTCTTGTCCTCACTGTGACCAAAGATACACTCTACCTGAATCTGACAAAAGTGACTTTGTACTGCAAATGGGCTCTTGAACCAAGTTGTCTTTTTTTTTTTAGGAATGTAATTTAATGCTGCTGAGTTGGACTGTGTGCTTCAGATTTGGTTGTCTTGGTCCTCTGTATTGTAACTTTGCTCTCACAATACTTGATTTCCCTGCCAGAGTGGTAAATGGAATTATTTTGAGGCTGGCAATTTCTGAATAACACCCCCTTGTCAGTGTGGTGCTTCTCTGCTGCCAGCAGATGGACCCAGCTATGGCTTCATGCTCAGATTGCAGATTGAAGTATTTGACATCACTTTTGCTAGGCTATTTTAGTAAAATGTGGTCATTTACCAGATGCAGACACACACACACACATATATATTTTATATATACATATAAAGTATTATTTTGAGCTTCAGTAGAAGTCAAAAATGGATCCAGCACTTTCAGGTGGTTGCAGCATGAAGAGTGGCGTATACAGTTTTCCAGATCTTGAAATGACTGTACAAATATGCTGAAAGCAGAATATGTGTATGGAAAATAAAGTTAACTCTTGTGTTTATAAAGCTTTGTTTCAGTGTAAGTAGACAATACATGCCAGTCTCTGAAAAATTTTCCAGTGGGATTGTCAACATGCCTGGATCTGGATGTTGGTGGTGAAACAGAAGCTTTTGCTTCTAAATTGTTCACACATTTACATCCAAATAAGTCAATTTTTCTTGTTGATTTGATCAAAGCAAGGGTCCAGTGTCTGCTAAAGGGTCTACTCCTTCATGAATTCTTCCACCAGGCAGATAGGGAATAGACATTACATGAAGTTTTACCCTGTTGCTGGCGTAAGAACTGTTAATTTAATGACAAAAAGCATGAAGGGTTTGGTTTCCTTTCAAGACCCTACAGAAATACAAATGTATTAAAAGAGCTAAAGCAACTGGCAGGGGGAGAAGTGCCAGTTGCTTTAGAAGCCACTGGCCCAGCATCCTCCTCCTTGGCAGAAGGCAGTTTCTGTTGATCAAAAGGTGCCCTTTCAGATAACTCGTGCAGGCAGGATGATTGTGCTGCCCTGGCTCTATCAGTGTCATCTCAGTAATGACATCTGAGCAGAATTAGTTCCTAAACTACCTCTGGTTCAGGTTTTTAACACTTCTTAATAAATAGGTTTTTCCAGATGGTTGCTTGTGATAGTATAGAGTGAGTGTTCTTGTACTGGGCTCCTGAACTCTTTGGCCTGAGGAAGTTAATCAAGCGCTCAGAATTCCAGTTAGTCAAGTGCTCAGAATTCCAGGCTCAAGTTACACGCTGCCTTGAAATTCAGCCCCTAACTGGCCAGCACAGGGAGCTAAAGTCACAAACTGCATCTCTGACACCAGTGTTCGAAGAATGCTACCACAGAGTTAATTTTACTGTAGTCACTTTATTTTTAATACAAAAAAATTACTTCTTAGAGACTTATATAGATCAGGAAATGACGGCAGATTAAGTACCTGGCCTAGGATGTAGGACAAACATACCATAATGCTCCTGTTCAGTCAGTAATTTTAGTAAGTGTGCTTTCCAACTAGTGCATTATCCCAAGGTGTCCTGTCCTGCTGCGTTCTGGTATCTCCCAACACGCAGAGTGCAGTTCCTGTCTCAGACAGGAGGGCTGGGAGGGTTGGGTGGTGCAGCAGAGGTTGCTCAGGGTGGCAGTGCTCTGCTCCACCTGGGACAGATGTGCTTCATCACCCTTGGGGATGATGAACTGGTGGCTGCGTCAATATCCACAGTGACCCTTTAACAATTAAAGCACTGAGCGTTTCCCTGCGGTGGCTGCAGCGTTAGAGCTGTGACCTCTCTGGAACAGGGAAGAACCGGTCTGGAAGCTCTGGGCACTCCTGTGCCTGATCAGGACAAGGAATGAGGCACTGCCAAGCTGTGAACCATGACAAGAGAGCTCCTTTCGCTTGGCCCTGCCTGAGAGACTTGATGAGGATTCCTGGGGCAGAGAGGAGTACTGGAGTGAGGAGGAGGGAGGGACAAATGCATTAATCTTCCCACATCAGAAAGGAACAGCTGGAAAGGTTCAAGGGCAAATGATTTTCTATGTGGCCCTTGCTCAACACCTTGGGTGTGCTGAACAAGCTGTGTAAAATGCTGCAGTCAAGATCCTTCTGGTGCCGAAGATCCTGGAAGGCATTTTGAGAACTGCCATTTTTGGTTTTTAACTCAGTTATTGCAGGCATAATCCAGATTTTTTGCTGTTTATTATTTTAACAATAATAGTGCTAATAAACTACCCATGTGTTAGCTTTTGCCTGAGAAATGCACATAAAACTATGGAAAAATGCATTCCACAGGGGTCACTCGTAAAAGACCTTATGAAAGTAGCTTTCGGATACTGGAGTTTTTTTGAATCAGAACTGAAATGCTTTTGCAGGTTCTCTGCCCAGGAGATAACTCAATTTTTACTAATAATGATTTACATCAGGTGATGAAAAACGTGGATCCATGCTCCGTTGCTTTTCATTTGTTTCCTAACTATGAACAAGAAATAAATTAACAATAATCTCCATGTGCCTGTTTTTCCTAGCTGAAAAAATGCTGGCTTGATGCTTTAAAAAGGAAAAAGGCTCTAATTGACTTAACCTAAGTGCCTGGTGTTGGCAGTGGCTACTTCCCGATGCTGAGTGTGAAGATGATTCGGCCCAGGAAACGGTCGCTGTTAAGGTCGTTGATAATCCCTTTGCCATTCAGACTGCACTGAATGGGGACCAAGTGATTCTTCTCCACGTCTGTAAAGTGCATGGCCACCAGTGGGGATGTGTAGTTGACCTGAAAAGCAGGGAGGTTTAAGTGTGATTTTTGAGGGAGCAGAAAGGCAGGCTGGGCTTTCATGATCAGTAAAACCATTAGTAATTGGTTCACAGTTCCCAGGGATCTGAGAGCATTTCCTTGATGTCTGTCATGGTCCCTTGGGGTGATGAAGTTGAGCCTTTCTGTGCCTGTGCCTCAGAGGGATGGGATCGTGTTGGAGTTTCATAGTTGCCTCTTGGGCTGATTACCCAGGACAACACCAGACAATGGGACTCTCAAATAATTTTTGCTGTTCTAAAAACCAGCCTGTGGCTTGTAATAAGAGATCCGTGGTGTTCCATGGATCTGTGTGCTCCAAGGACATGCAGACACGGTGTCTGGGGCTGTTACTCACCCTCAGCTGGCAGCAGTATGACAATAGGAGTCTAGTGCCTGCCTCATCTTCCATTTCAGGTTTTGTTGTGGTGGTGTGTTCCCTCCCAGCACTGCACAGCCCAGAGCAGTGCTGGCCAGCATGTTCAGAAATAGCTGCTGATGCTGGACTGCTCTGTTTGGAGCCATCCAGCCTGAAAGCTGTTTTGCCATAGCTTTGTCAGATGCCCCATCCTTTTCCTCTTATGTCACCTAACCCCTGACTTTCCTAATATCCTGGGAAAATGCTGGTGTTGAGACCTTCTCTGGGAGTTAGCAATGCCAGTCTTAGTCTCCAGCTGATAAATGTAATCATTCCCATTGCTAGCAAAGGGGAACAGGAGTCCCCAAGGATTTCCTGTGGTTTGTCAGAAATAGAGCACTGTAATCCCAGTGCCCGTGGCCTCCCTCCTGCCTGCATCTGCCCAAAATAGCCAGGGAGCACATCTGTACTCTGTGCAGCAGCTGCTGCCCTCTCCTCCTCGAAGAGGCAAAGCAGAGATGCCAGAGCCGTTACTTACATGAGTGAACTTGCCGTAGTAGGGATAATACATGAGGTCAAACGTCCCGTTCCCAGGGTAGAAGTCCACGGACCTGAGATGGCTCTCATTGCCTTTCTGTGATCAGAAAAAGAACAAGGACACGCACACACAGGACATGGGACACAAAATACAGCTCCCTGCAGAGCAAGGGGAAGGAGCTTTACTATGGATGTGTCCCACCAGCCCACAGGGTCTGTGTTTGCTGCCTGTTGATTTCTAGGGTATGATCCAGCAGCTGTCTGGGCAGTGGGAACCCTTCCCTTCCCCTTATTGCAGTTGGCTTGCAGGGAGCCCCCCAGGACTGAGGGTGCTGAGGAGAGGCTGAAGATGGATGTGAGCAGTTCCTGCACGTTCCCCCCAACTCCAGTCTCTAGCTGGCACCCCAGCACCCAGCCCAGCAGGTCTGCCCACAGGAGCTGAGCAGAGTGCTGCCAATCAGGCTGACAGGAGCCTCAGCAGCGCTCAGAGGGTGATGGCCAAGGTGGGAAGCAGGAAACCAGTGGCCTCTGCTGCTCTCAGCAGACTGACCCCCACTTGCACCCAGACACATGGGCAGCACTGGGTCCTGTGAGTGTTTGGGGCTAAAAGAAAGACAGATGGTGGTGGGGTCCATCAGAGGGAGGCATTTGGCCTTGTACCCACCACAGTGCCCAGCACGAAGGAAAGCATTACCTGCACTTTGCAGTCCACGCTCACAGGGACCCCAGCACCAGGGCGGTAGCCTATGATCTGCAAAAACAAAAACCATCCATGCTTGTAGGAAACGCAGTACCAACTCAGTTCTATGAAATTCCCACTGTAAATTGCCTGGGGTCTGGAATGTACCCCCAAAACCTCCCAAAGAAGGGCATGGCACAAGACCCTCCAAGCAAATCAAATCAAGCAAGTTTTGTAGTGTTTCTTTTTTATGTTTTCTAGTGGGTATGAGCCAGCAGGTTTGGGGATTTTAGTTCCCTTTTTCCCTTGGCTTGGGAAGTGAAAGAGTTCCAGTCCCTGCATGGTCTTTATCACACTGGGATGCACCGAAGGAAAGAATTGAGATGAATGGCTTCCTCTGTACCCGGTTCATCTTCAGCAGGATGCAGGGCTGGCCTTTGGAGTACCCAAACGTTGGGTCCTCGATGCCGGAGCAGTTCTGCAGCAGCGAGCGCTTGAACTGACAGGCCTTCTTCTCCTCACTGTCATCACCCCCTTGGATGAAGTACTGTCCCGAGACACACTCGATGTTCTTCTCTTCTTGAACTTTGTCATCATAAGCTGGTGGGGACCAAGAGACTTGTTAACATTTCCTGAGACCTGCACAGACCCACACTCTCAGAGTACATCCACACGTCAAGGGCGTTAGAAAGTCCCACCCAGAAAGGCAAAGCTCCCTCCCACAGGAGCCCCCATGACCTTTTGAGCCTCCCCTTTCCAAATGGGGGTCATGAGATGCCGAGGAGGAGACCCCTGCACCCATGTATGCATGGATGGAAACAACTCACCGTGATTCCTGGGGTGATGAAGAGCTTACCTGCTAGGAAGTGGTGCATGTTGTCCACATAGGGCTGCCACGTGTTGGGCTGAGAGACGTTGAAGGCAATGGTGAACCCATTCAAGTATGGCCTGATCATCACTCCTGAAGCAGAAGGAGAAGAACCCTGATAGAGCAAATGTGGGTGGACTGGCCACAGGCTTGGGGGGTGTGTTGCAGGGGCTGGTTGCTCTGTGACTGGGCTTGGGGCCGGGCACAGCCATGAGAGTCGCAGCACCAGTGCACAAATCAACTCTCTCCTCAACCTACTGATCCCTCACCTCCATTTCACCCCCAGAGAACACCATAAACATGACAAAATATAACAGGAAACGTGGGAGATATGGAGGGCCTCAGCAGTGCTGTGGGTAAGTGGTGGGCTTGAGGTTGCACAGAGTGGCTGAGGCGTTCTCCATGTTGCCAGCTGTGTGGCTGGCTCCATACAGGGGTCAAGGTGAGAGGGCCTTGTGTTCCCCACCAACACAAAAACACAGGGAAAATGCTGTGTGTGACACAGGAAAGGATTTTCTGAACATTATCTTGCCAGAACTCCCCCAAATACTAATGCTTAAAAGCTACTCTTGATTTGCATCTTATTTTGAAGACATGAGGTGTAAACAGGCAGCAGCTGAAATGAATCAGCATCACCTATGAAATGACTAAACTTGGCCTTTTACCTTGAGAATAATGATAACAATAAATAGCATAATTAGAATAACAATTAGTATAATCCGGACGAATGCTTCCCGTGGGGCTATTTAAGATGTCTGATCCTCTGCAGAGAACCTGCAGCTCTGTCAGTGCCCCGAGGTAGGTGAGAACACCCTGTGTGATGGAGGGCAGGGTGGCTGTGGGAGCGCACAGCTCCAGCAGGGCTTTGTCTGAGGACCCAGCCGTGCCATTTCAGTAGGACATTGCTGGGCAAGTGCCCTCAGAGGTGCCCAGGGCCAGGCTGGCTGGGGTACGTACCCGGTGGAGACACACGGTCCCGGAACCTGGGCGTGTAGGGGCTCAGCGTGAGCAGCATCACGTACATGCAAAAGGCAAACATTCCCGCCAGACACGTGTAGAAAACAAAGTAAAACAGTAAGATCAGGCCTGCAAAAGACAGAGGCATGTTGCTGTTAATGCAACCAGAGCACATCCCGTGGGAGGTGTCCCACAGGGATGCAGAGTCGTGCTCAGCTCGGCGTCCTCCACAGCTCTGAGTCCACGGTGGAGGTGGGAGCTTGCACACACACCCCCTGCACACAGACCCTGGTGGTTTTGGGTGCAGGACTCTCAGCCAGACAAGCTCCCTGCCCAACCCTGGGGCTGGGGCAGCTGCTACTTGGCTCTGTACCCCTTTTGCTGCAGGGCCCTTCCCAGAGCTGTGTCAGGACCAGGTCTATGTGTCCACCTGCCTCAGCTCTCTCTGACAGACAGATCCAACCTTGCCTCGTGCCCTTCCCATCCCCTCTTGGCATGGTAACATGCAAGGATACCCAGTGGCTTCAGCACCTCCAAATTCCTGGTGGGGCTGTGGGGCGTTGCTCCTGACTCCTGTCCCCGGCACGGCAGGGACCCTGGTGCTGAGACTGAGTGAGCAGCACCTGAACACTCCAGGGCTGCAGCACCACACTGGCTGTGTCATGGCCAGGACATTCAGGGAATGGGTTTGTTTTTCCTCTGGACCAGGCTCATGGCTGAGGATGTCTCAAGAGGCCACGGCCTATGAATAAAACCCAGCGGCTCAGAAAGCAAAGCGAAGCTCTAACCCAAACATTTCCCAGGAGAAACGTTCCGGCAGCTCGGGAGGAGCCCTGGGAACACAGATGTGCACTCCTGCCGTGCTTCTGCCGCAGCCACGGTGCTGGGAACAACTGTGGGGCCATGTCCTGCTGCGGGCTGAGCCAAGGTACAGGGGACCATCACTGCTGCTGGTGGCACAGCAGGGACAATGTCCAGCCCTGCCACGATGATGCTGGATGGGGCCTTTATCCCAGCCTGGCAGAGCGAGAGCTGCTGCTGGGGTGCCAAGATGATGCTTGTTGAAACATCTTGCCATTAGCATCCCCTTTCTGATGTTTCCTGCAGTGCAGTGGGAAGCATTGCCACTGGCAGAGAGGGGGGGTGCAGCCTTTCCCAGGGCCTGGACCCTCTGGTAATAACCCTGTGGCCCTGCACTTTGTCACTGCAAGTCCCCTGAGCCCCCAGTCCCTGAGGAACACCTTCAGAGCAGCACAGGGGAGCAGCCCCAGGCTGGGCAAATTTCCTCCTCCTCACCCATGAGATGAAAGTGGGAAAGTTCAGCTTCATTCACCTCCAAATGCTCTCCCTTTAACAGAAATTTTGATTTTCACCGTCGTTTCAATGTCTCTCTCCTGTCTCCCTGTACAGGCACGTGAGCACTGTGTGTGCACTGAGGGCATGTGTGTCCATGGGGAGTGGGATCATCTGGCAGAACATGATGATCCCATGGTGCAGGAGGATGCTGCACCCACCCTGAGGCTGCAAATAAATAACTGCCAGCAGTAGTCAGGCAGGGTCACATCCACACCAAACTGAGCAAGTTCTCTCACAGGCATCTTCTCAGCACCTGTCAGAGCCTCCAGAAACACAAACCCACATCACTAAGGACTGTCACCCCCATACTGCTCCCACACTTCATTCTGCACCTTCCCATTCAGCAAAGGGCAGAAGAACTGGGCTGCCTCCATGGCCAGCAAAGGGCACAGGGGAGCAAATGTGGATGTCAAGATCTGACCCTGACTCAGGCTTGCAGGTTTTCAGACTCCTCTGGTGCTGATGGGCAGCTTCCTTAGTTCCTCCTGGCTGTCCCCACAAGCTCTGCAGGAGACCCAGAGCTCTTGGCAGGGGCACGGGCAGGCTGCAGGGCTTGCAGCGTGGTGCCAGTGCCAGCCAAGGCTGCAAACACTGAGCCTCAGCCCCCGAGAGTTCACAGCCTTACACTGGTGTGGATGTGCGAGTGATTCTGGGCTCAGGTTGGGATTTTCACTCTGCCACAGGAGCTGTGTGCTGTCATAACAGAGCTGGAAAGGTGGATGGCACCACATGTGCTGTGGCACCTTGGTTTTGGACCAAGCCTGCAGCAGAACTCGCCCGACAGCCACAGGCTGCTCTTAACCACCTGAGGCACCTCCAGCCTCAGAGGTAATTTTTGAAGGCCACATGGATGTGGATAAAATAGACAGGCACTCAGAACCCTTACTGGCACATGCCAGCCCACTGGCTCTGACATCACTTATGGGTTCTGCTGTGGGCACCATGTCACACACCAGGAAGCCGTGGGGTGACAGTGGGGACCAGCCCTTCCCTCCCCGGAGCCAGGGCTCACATAGGCAGGGAGGGCTGCTCAGCCCTGTGGTGGGTACCCTTCACAAAACACCTGCCCTACAGCTCGGGCACCCTTCCCCTACCAACCTGATGTCCCCAAAGCCACCGTCCCACAGGCTCCTGACTTACACAGGCAGCAGCAGGGGTGCATGGCTGCAGCACACTGACCTGCAGCCCCCACGCTTGCTCAGGCTATACATTTCTTTCTAGGACTCAGTCTGGGCAGCCTGAAATCTTTGCTTTCACACTCTCAGTCAGCATTAACATCCAGACCAAGAGTAACTTTTCCACGGTTTTCTGCTTGTCCTCCTCACTAGTTCTTTATTGCACTGGTTAGAAACATTTACACTAAAAAAATGAACAGGAGTGGCCAGTCCAAGCTATCAAGGATGTGCACAGGTAAGTGAATCTGTTGTGAAGCAGAAAAGGCAACAACCCCCAGAAGCGGGTCTTGAGCAAGGACCTACCCCAGCTCTTGGCTGTTCTCCCCAGGCATGTTCTCTCCTCCGGGTTCCACAGGAATATCTTCATCTCCCCAGCCAGGTCTGCCCAGGTTTTGCTCCCCATCTCTGCTTTGGTCTCGTTCTTCCCTCTGTCAGGATCCTGGACCTTCTCCTCATGCTTATTTTCCTGGAAGAGTTACAAAACACAACCCCCACAGGCAAGCTGAACATCTCATTGGACAAAAATAAATGCAAAAGCACTTAATAGCTGGAAATGTTTCAAATTTCCATTTTCCCATCATCACTCTTGAGTTAAAGAGAGGCAGTTTTGGCTGCTCCAACTTAAGATCTCTTAGAACCCAGTACCCGTTTTTTCCATGACATGTACGTCACTGCCATCACACTGGGTACTGTCTCTTTGTCCTGGCATTTACAGAAACTCATCTTTTTCCACCTGCATGAACATGACCAAAGAAAACCTGTGATCTGGGAGGGTCAGGACTGTTCCCACGCTTCTGCAACATCTCTGAGCTCAAGTGCACATTTTCTGTGCTGCCACAGATGACAGCAGGCAGCAGCACATACGAGGTCATCCAGTTTGTTTTTCTTGGCACAGGAGGAAGTGTTTAGTGTTTGGAGAAATCCCTCTGTTGTTATATTTCAATTACACTGAGTTCCAGGGAAAAGCATCTCCCCAGGTTGCAACAGTTTGTGTTTTGCCTCAGTGGTGAAAACTTGTTTGTCCAGAACTGAGGAACACAAACCTCTCTGTACCTGGGCCTGGCCAAGAGTCACTTGAGACATAGCAGCCGTCCTTGAACCTGGGCAGGTTCTGTGTCTCCAAAAGCTGGCAGCGAGGTGGGAGAGGGTGCTGATCTGGCTTTCAGCTCGGGGCAGGGCTGGGCTCCCTAGGCTGCTGTGCCCGCTCCGAGTGCGGATCCACAACGGCTGCACCAGCAGCATTGCTGGCTGCAGGCATCTGTTGGAGCCAGGACTAACAAATAAGACATTTGCACCCCGTGGGTTGCCCCGGGGGAGCCGGGAAGTGGCCTACAGCTTGGCAGAAAGCTTGGCTTGGAAACACCTTTGAATCGGGGGCAGGGGGATTAAATTTTCCGCAGATACGCAAATACTGCAAAACAGTGAGAAAGGGGGCAGAGTACTGACTCCAAAGCCTGCATGTGTCCCTTGGGGAGCCTGGTCAGACCCAGGGTGGCTGTAAACCATCAGCATCCCACTGACTGCCCTGATCAGCTCTGGCTAAAGCACCAGTGGGGCTCCTTTGTTAGCCCGCCTGCGTCAGAGCGCCGCTCCCGGCATGGTGCCCGCAGCTGCCCGAACAGCCAAGGCAGTGCTTGGCCCAGGTCCTGCGCCCCAGGCTGGAGCCCTTCCCGAGCCATTCCCGAGCTCCTGCATGGCCAGAGGTACAGGGTACACATGGTACGGGCTGATGGAAACACAGGAGTGTGGGGCAGCCGGACAGGATGGGATGAGCATGCTGCCTTGCAGATGTCTGTTAGCTGGGTCAGGTCTGGAATGGAACACCTCTCAGGTGGTTTAGCTTTGCAGTCCAGGGCAGAGATGGTCTTGGAGCAGTCCCTTTCACTTGGACAAGGTGCAGAAGTAGTGGCAGCAGCTGGGGCAGGCGTGTGCTGGGTCAGGGAGGAGACACAGCCAGGCAGGATGTGTTGGAACACTGGACAGCCCTGGGCTGTTGTGGGCCATGACAGCTGGGGAAGCAAAGCTAGCGTTCATCCTTGGTGAGATCACTCTGTGCTGCCAGTCGTGGGTGTCCTGGGGGTAGCCAGGGGCTTTCACTTATCCTCACCCCAGACCAGGTCAGCTCTCAGTGGGGGATTCCTCCTGCTGAAATCCAGGTGTGCAGAGAGTCACCGTGCCCAGGTGTCCCCATCCCTCCTAGTCCCCCTTATCATCCAGCACCACTAGCCAGACCTGCCACTGTCCTTTCCCCTCCCAGTACAAAGTGCTTTGCTAAAGGAACAAAGCAGCATTTCCTAAAGCATAGCAGTTATATTTATCAGCCATGAAGCAGGTCCTTGCAGCAGCTCCCACTCGCCTCTCGGAGGGTGGCCAGCAGCCCCCAAAACACTCACTGCCTCCTGGCTGGGGCTCCTGTACTGGCCCTCCTTGCCTCTGGTGCTGGTGTTCCTGTCCATCCCTGGGTGGGAAATACAGAGAAACATGAGTGTTAGCACAGCAGCACATGCCCCAGCTCTCAGGAACCCACAGGCACAAACCCACAGCCCCACAGCACCCCCCAAAATCACAGCTGTGCCAAGACCTCTGCCTGTCTGTGGGGAACCACGCTGCTTTCCCTTCCTACCCTGCAAAGCTCAGCGTTCAGGAGTGGATCAAAAAATAACTTGCTTTCCCAAGAGGGGTGAGCTCAACGCAACAGGATCCCATCTGGTGCCCTTTGCAGCCCCCTCACTGCATCCTGTCTCATGTTTGAGTCCCCATCACTGCCAGTCAGTGCCCTACATGGGGAAGCCAGCTCTTCACCCCCAGGAGACCACGGAGCTGTTAATAAACATTAGCAAATCACTAGGGTTTCCTATGGCCACATGTCGGTCAATGTGTGCTTGTCAGTCACGGTGGGCCATGGTTAATGCTTACAAAATCTCTTTTGCAGTGCAAGGGGCAGGTCTATATTTACCCCTTCGAATAATGACAGCAGACAGGAGTTCACAGCATCTGCTTCCTCGACCTGGCTTAAAGAGCTCAGCACAGCCAACCAGAAAAAATCCAGAGGGATACCTTGCTGTGGCATCTGGCAGACCAGGACTGGCGGGTGTCAGATTTTTCACCCATCAGTGAATTACAGGCACAAGCTGATGCACTAGGGCCCAGGGGCTGCGTGCTGGAGCCCTGCCCCTGGAACAGCTCCAGCGGTGTGATGGCACAGGGGCTCCCTGTCCCTGGTTGTGCCCACACAGCTCTCAAGGAACAGTGGGGCTCATTTTACATGTCTGTCCCAGCAGGAGCTTAGCACCATCCACCAGCTCATTCACTGGCACGATTCCAATGGGACCGGTGACCTTTCCCTTCACAAGAGAGCCAGGCCCTGCTCAACAGTGGGGAAAGACTGTCTTGCCTAGGCTGGGGCTCTGCCTGGAGGGACAGAGACATCTGTCCCAGGCTCCCACAGGGCTGCACAGTGCCGTCCAAGCAGGCAAAGCACCAGTTCTCCCTCTCCTCTCCTGAGCATGGCCGAAAGCCACTCACCGGCTGCGCTAATAAACGGGCACAGCAGGAAACAAAGAGGTCTGGCAGCTGCCCTGGTCTGTGCCGAGTTGGCCGGGGCTGGCACATGCCTGCTGGGCCTGCAGGCAGGGCTGGCTCGATGCTGGTCTTGCCCACAGCCAGCCCACGGCAGGAGGGCACTCGGGCAGCTGTGCTCACAGCTGGACCTCCTGGCCAGGCCGGAGCCCTGGGGCAAGAGTTGCCTTCCTGAAGCTCAGGAGTTGGTATGGAATGCAGGGATTTAACATGGCCTGGGCAATTGTAGGGCACCAGCAGCTCCCCGGGGGGCACACACACACACCTGTCACAGCAGTTGTGCTGCTGCTCAGCCCAGCGCTGGCACAGAGTGGAGGATGAAACTGAGATTTGCCTCCTCCATCACTGGCACAGAGTGGGGGAAACTGATCAGGAGGGGACCAGTGCCAGCCCCTCTGTCCAGTGGGACACAGGCAGTGAGCTCAGGGCTCCTCTAGTTAATTCAAGGTGAATAACTGCTGTGTTCTCTGGAGGTGATGTGTTCTTTGCCATTAATTGATCTGGGCATTTGTAACTTGTCTCTTGCACTGTTGTCAGTGTACACTTTCCCTTTTCTCCTGGGAGAAGCTGGTCATTAGGCTCTTATCCAATTAAAGTGTGGTGTGCTGGTTTTTTTTTTTGTTTGTTTGTTTGTTTTTGTTTTTGTTTTTTTTTTAAGCAGAGATAGGATTAGTTTCTTCTAACTTGATGAAATATGCTCGAAATAATTATATGATTTGTACTTAGCACCTTTCAGCCCAGGGCATTAAAGTGATTTACAAGCAATTATGAAGCCTGCTGGGAAGATGCTTTTATCCCCATTTTACAGATAGGATGTGGAAAACAGAGGTTAAGGGCCTGTCCTGGCTCCTTGGCCAGAGACGCAGGGAGATTGCAGGGGATTGCTGCCTCCATGGGACAGGGCAAGGGCAGCAACAGGCATCACCACCGGAGCGGAGGTCTCAGAGCACCGGGAAATAAAACACTGGGCCGGTGCCCGTGGCCGGTGGGCTGTCTGGGACTGCCCGGGACTGTCACCCACACCGCAGGGAGGAGGGAGATGGGGAGGAGGGGGTAACAGAGAGGTGCCAGGGAGGTGTTTGGTGAAGGACGGAGTGTCCCAGAGCAACAGGGCTGGAGAGGGGTGGGAGCTGCTGAAGGTAAAGGGGCTGGAGAAAGATGAGGAGAGCCAACACCAGCGAGGCGGGGAGCCCCTCTGGCCGGGCTGCCGGTGAGTGCGGCGGGACCACCCGGAGCCGGGGCAGGACCTCCGTCCCCTCCGCAGACGGGGCAGCAGCTCCGTCCCTCCCTCCCTCCCCAGCTCCCCCCGGGGCACTGTCACTCCGCTGTTTCCAGCGGGACGGCCCCGGGCAGTCACTTGGGAAGGACGTGCCCGTTCCCGAGCGCTCCCCGCGGGCCCGGGGGTGCAGCGGGCGGTTCAGTTCAGTTCGGGGCGGTTCTGCCCTGCTCGGTTCGGTTCCGCCCGGTTCCGTGCCGGCGCCGCCGCTCGGTTCCCGCCCCGCTGCGCAGGCGCGGCCGGTGCCGGGGCTGTGGCGGCCGCCGTGGCCCCGCGGCTGCGGCGGGAGCGGCGGTACCGGCACCATGCGGCAGTCCCTGACTCAGCAGCGCCCTGGCGGCGTGGCCCTGCCCGACTCCGTGGGTGAGTGTGCCGGGCCGGGGGGACCCCGTGCGGGGCCGGGGGGCGCGGGGCCGTGCGGGGCGGTGGGTGCGCGGGAACCCCGCGGGGCCGCAGCGACGGGGCCGCTCCCCCGCCGGGCGCGGGTCCGGCCGCGGCGCTCGGTCCGGTCCGTGTGTCCCCGCAACCCTCGCGGCCGCTGCGGCGGGACCCCCGCGGGCAGGGTCGCTGCCCGGCCCCGCGGCGGCGGCAGTGGCATCATCATCATCCTTTGGAGCGGCCGCTGACGGGGCCGGGGCCGCTCGTCCCTGAGTGCGGACTGAATCCCCCCCACCCGCGCTCCGCCCGAGCGGGGCAGGAGCCCCGCAGCCCCCGCAGCCCCCGCCCCTGCACTGCTGGGCCCGCAGTCGGGGGGCGGTGGGGTCACTGACCCCCACGCTGACGCGGTTTTAGCAGAAAAAAAATGGAACAAAAGGAGGGAGGCTGGGGAGAGGGAGGCTCGGTGCCATCTGCCCCCCCATTCTCCCGGGGGTAAAAGTTGAAGCTGGCTTTCTTCCTTGGGCTACTTTGCGTTTATTCCTCGCTTTCTGGCTTTCCACTCCCCCACCCAAAGAACAAGATGGAGAAGTCGGTGCTGTTTCTGTGCCATCTTGTCTGTTTTCTTCTAATAATCAGGAAAAAACAGAAGTAAATCAAGGGCAGTACAAAGATATGCATTATTGCAAACTTTTAAAGTAATCTGCAAAAACCTGCTACGACCTTGTGTTTAGAGTGGGCTTATATATGGCAAGGATAATAAGAGGATGTTTCTGATGCTTAAAATAAAAATGGTCTTTCTAAGACCAGTCCACATTTGGAGTGCCATTTTAGCAAAAGCAATACCCAGACTATGCATGGCAGTAGTTTCTTTACATCTCCCTCCCACAGTTAAGCAGTGTTTCAGACTGCCTTGTATACTCACACTGTGGTAAGCACTGCAAGTTTTGAGGTATCTAATTGGAATAAATCACAGAGAAAAGGCTAATGCTATCTCTTAAAAGCTGAGATAGCAAAGCTCTTGTAGCTCCACTCTACAGAGCTGTACCAAGCTCAGGAGCAAAGAGAAGAATGATCTGATGGGGAATATTTTCAGCAAAAATTAACATTGAGGGAGATGATTTTGCCAGGGCAGCCCTTCAGCAGCTGTCAGCAGAGATACTGAGTCCATGTATACTGAAGCAGCTGTGGGCATCCTTACAGAAGTACAAAACCATTTTCTCTCCGCACACGTAGCAAAACATGTTTTCTGAGAAAGAAAAAATGTAATTAGTGTCCCAGTGCAGAGCTAAAGTGGAGGTAATCACATTATCTCTTCAGTTTCACATCTCTCTTCGATATCAAGTTAAAGGATTATAGTTGGTTTTGTCAGAACTTGGAATAAAAGCTTTTTTTTTTTTTTTATTTAATCTTATGAGGACTATTGAAAAGCTTTCAGAAATTTTCCAGCTGGAAACCTTTTGTTTCTCTTCTCTATTGCATTTTGATGTGTGCCACTCCTGACCTGGGAAACAATGTGGAAATGAAGAGTGGAAAAAGTGGTGCCAAAACAAGTTTGGAATCCATAAACGGTGTTTCAGGCTGCTTCTTTTTGGGCGTTTTTCTGCAGAAATGCTGTTGAAAAATACCCTGGTTTTGAGACAAATGGGCACATTTTGCAGGTGTTTTCGTGGTAACTTCTTGCAGCACCTGTGATGGCAGTGCAGGAGCGCTGGTTTGTGCCCGCGGCCCCCACTCGGCCGTGCTCTGCAGGGTGGTTTTGCAGGGCACACAAACATCTGCACACCCACACGGCCCAACCGTGCAGGGTTTGAGCTGTGCAAGGAACATATGGCTGGGTTTGTTTACCCTCTGCTCATTTGCCAGCCAGACTGTAGCAGTAAACAGAAGTTTGGTAATCATGTGGAAGCAAGACGGGTTCGTTCTTTCTCTCCTTCCAGAGAAGGAGGTATTACCTACTTCTATGTAAGAAGCAGCAGTTTCTCTCCAGGTTCTAAAGTTTCATTCAGCTAAGTTTTGGTCCCAGTGCTATGGAATTTAAAGAAGTTTATGGGACACTTGCTTTTAAATGGCTTCATTGGAACTGCAGTGTGGCACAAGTGATAGAATTTGGGAGGCAATACCTACAGAAAGGCTTGATATCTTGATGAATTTTGAATGATTTAGAAGACTAGATTTTATATTATTAACTTACTTGGCAGATTGAGTAGATTAAAAAGAATAACCCCAAATACAACCAGCAGCAAACAGTTGGGCACCTTTATCTGCAGGCTGTAAAAGCATGGCATGAAAAGCTAAGGGTCACTGAACCAGCCTGCATCTTAAGGTTCTTTAGAAGTTATTTAATTTTTTTTTTTTATTGTTTGAAATTAGTAACTGTGTAGCTGTTCATTCCAGCTAAGGACTAACTAATTGTCAGGCTGCTTGCTCTTAGAACCAGTGATGTCCCACTGATGTAGTCAGAGCTGTGCTCTGGGACATGAGCAGAAGGTTTGCAGGTG